CGCAAGGGGCAGGGGGGATCCCCGGGAATCGCGGTCGCCATGGGAACGGGCCTCCCGCGCAGCGCCGGGCCCGGCCGAGCCGCACCTGGTGCCGCCATCGGAAGAGACTGGCGGTGTCGATGTTGGGGTGCCCGGGAATCGCGGTCGCCATGGGAACGGGCCTCCCGCGCAGCGCCGGGCCCGGCCGAGCCGCACCTGGTGCCGCCATCGGAAGAGACTGGCGGTGTCGATGTTGGGGTGAGTCTCGTCCTCGTCGTCCGAGACCTCGATGTGGTCCCACACGCTGTAATCCACCATGGCGCGGCCGCCGCGACCCTCCGCCGCCCGCCCGCTTCCGCCCGCGCCTGACGCGCTTCCGCCCGCGCATGACGCGCTTCCGGCGCCGCGCCCGCCCTCCCGAGCCTGCGCGCTGCGCGCGGGGAGCCGCGCCCGGCTCAAAGATGGCGGCGGATTTAAAGAGACAGGAGCGCGCACGCAGCGCGTTTCACCCGCGGGTTTAAGAGAAATAATCAAACAATAGAGATTTTTAAACTGTCTTAATGATTTAAATGGAAGGAAAAGCCTGCCTCTTCCATGATCTGAAGAGGTTTAATTGACTCTGAATCCCTGCTTTGTGATATTTTAGGGATTTAGGTAGGGCAAATCCAAGTTTTTTCTTGTTTAAGTGGTTAAATTGAGGGGGAATCGCTGTTTTCTGTCGTTTTTAAGGGTTTACTTTGAAAGGAGCCTCTTTATGGGCCGTTTTAAGACTTCCATCAATAGGGGCCCTCTGTTTTAAGGGACTTCATGGGGAAAATGGTGTCAAAAAGGCCCAAAATTGCTGTTTCTTGAGGCAAAACCAGTAAAGGGAGGAGGAAGCCTCTTGCTGGGTTAAATAGAGGAGGAATTCCATTAAAAACATTTAAATTGAGGCAGGATTCTACATTTTAAGGATTTAAACGGAGGGAAACTCCACGTTTTTCACCATTTTTATGGTTTATTTTGGGACAAGACCCCCTTTATCCATCGTTTTAGGGCTCTAAACATAGAGGGAACCCCGTTTTCCATTTTCAAGGCTTAAACTGGGGGGCCAAAACCCTTTTCTCGTAGTTTTAAAGGGTTTAACTAGAGGGGGTTCCCTTAATTACGAGGGGAAAAATGGCAGGAAACGTGAGGGGAGAAAATGGCGGGAAACGTGAGGGGAGAAAATGGCGGGAAACGTGAGGGGAAAAGTGTGGGAAATGTGAGGGGAAAAGGAGGAAATGTGAGGGGGAAAAGTGAGAAATTTGAGGGAGAAAAAGGTGAGAAATGTGAGGGGAAAATAGCAGGAAACGTGAGGAGAAAAAGGCGAGAAATGTGAGGGGAAAAAGGTGAGAAATGTGAGGGGAAAAGGGGGAACACATGAGGGAAAAAGGGCAGGAAATCTGTCAGTCACTGTCAGTCACTGTCAATCTGTCAGTCCCTGTCAGTCACTCAGGATCCCATCCTTCCTATCTAGATCCCCTCCCTTTACCTGTGCATTCCCTCACCTGCGCTGGGATCGTCCCCAAATCCCTGCCCCGGCTGTCAGTCACTGTCAGTCACTGTCAATCACTGTCAGTCACTGTCAATCCCTGCAATCGCTGTCAGTCAATCAGGATCCCATCCTTCCTATCTAGATCCCCTCCCTTTACCTGTGCATTCCCTCACCTGCGCTGGGATCGGCCCCAAATCCCTGCCCTGGCTGTCAATCACTGTCAATCCCTGTCAATCGCTGTCAATTGCTGTCAGTCACTCAGCATCCCATCCTTTAATCTAGAACTTTCTGTATCCTCTCTCTCTACCTGTGCATTCCCTCACCTGCGCTGGGATCATCCCCAAATCCCCATCCTGGCTCTGTCAGTCCCTGTCAATCTGTCAATCACTCAGCATCCCATCCTTTCCAGAATCCCATCCTTTCCAGAATCCCATCCTTTCCAGAATCCCATCCTTTCCAGAATCCCATCCTTTCATCTAGAACCTTTTGTACCCCCTCCCTCTTCCTGTGCATTCCCTCTCCTGTGCTGAGCTCATCCCCAAATCCCTTTCTCCCGCCACAGCCCCCCCAAATCCCATTCCTGTCCCCCCCTCCCCATCCTCCGTGCCTCAGTTTCCCCGCTCTAACCCCAGAGAGCCCTGGCTCTCTGCCAGTCACTCAGCATCCAGAACTTTCCACGCACATCATCGAGCGATCAGAGCCCAGGGCTCAGCCCCCCCCGTGCTGCACGAGTGTCCCCCCCGGGCTGGCCGGGGTCCCGGGGGTCCTGGGGGGTCCCGGGGGTCCCCGTCCCCGCGCTCACCATGTTGTACCAGGCGGTGACCAGCAGCCGCTCCTCGCGCTCCCGCTGCGCCCGGCTGCGCTCCCAGTCGCTCTGGGGGGGTTCGGGGGGGGATCAGCTGGGGATGGAGACCCCCAGGACCCCCCCACAACCCCCAGGGTTAACCCCTCACCTCCAGGTGCCGGATCAGCGCGTCCTTCTCCTGCAGCTGGCTGCGCAGGAGCTGCAGCACGGGGGCCAGGGGGGGAGTCCCGGGGGGGTCCCCGGGGGGCGATGAGGGTTTTTGGGGGGGCGACCTCGTGGAACCTCGAAATGCTGATCGCACAGAGCGAGCAAAAAGGGAGCTTAGCCAGGAAGGAGCCCCAAAATCCTCGTGGGGAAACTGAGGCATGGCTCATCTCCTGCCCCCTCCCTCCAGACATCGCCCCCCAGGATCCCTGTATCCAACCCCCACTCTGGGGTACCCCAAAACTCCCCACACCCCGACCCCTCCCCAAATTCTGATGCCCACTCCAGACCCACTCATACCAGCCCTGGAGAGCTCCAGCTCTTCCTCCTCCTCCTCCTCCTCCTCCTCCTCTCCCTCTGGCAGCTCATCCCTGGGGGGGCAGGGGGTGGTCACAGGTGGGGGATGTTGGGAGAGCCCCCACAAATGCCCCCCACCCCCCAAAAACTCACAGGTCCTCGGGGGTCTCCTCCAGCAGCACCAGCTGGGGGGAATTGAGAGAGTTCAAGCTGAAACACCGAGGTGCCCCCAACAAAACCTGACCCCCCCAAAACCACCGAGACCCACACAACGAACTGGGGACCCCCCCCGGCTGTTGAGACCCCCCCCCAAATCTCCCCGGTGCCCCCCTCACCTCCTCCTGGTGCCT